GAAATATAATATTAAAATGGTTTTATAATAAAATAAGAAATGTAAAGTTAATGCTGTAATACTATGAATTTTCGTAAGTGCTTAACCTTAGACTTACATACAATTTATAATGTTGTTTAGTAGTGTCAGCTTAACAAAATCATTAACCATTAAAAACTTTAGACCCCATTCCCACCTAAAATTCAATTGTAAACCATTCTCTCAGCGCCCCACTGAGTGTGACCAGGGCAAATCTTTTTGTCTTACATTCAGCGGAAAAACGTTTACATAACCTTTAACTTGATTGTCTAACGATTCGCATTGTCTTCTGTGGTTTCGCTCCAGGTCAAGCTGGTGGACGTGGAGAAGGTGGAGTGGCTGAATCGGCGCTCCTACAGCGCCATTGGACTTCTACTGGGCCGCGAGGGTCGCGTTCTCCTACGCTGCGATGATGGCCTCGAGGACTGGTTCGAGCTGCTGGAGGTAAGTGGCCATGAAATGGAAAAATAGTAGAACGCACAAAGCTCCAAATTAGTCAAGAACAAAATGTGAAAAATAAAGCGAATTTTGCAAAGTAAATTCACAGTGGAAGATAATTGTTAACATGGTCAAACGATTTGATAAGTAAAAATATGTGATGCTTTAATTGATCTCCCTAATAGTTCTTACTCTAAAAAGTGTTAAAAGTAAAAAATAAACATTAAATTGATTTAAACCAATAACAACATTAATTTACAACATTTTTTATTCATCAACATACTTACAAATTTAATGCTTATTTAACAGAGTAAATAATTTGAATAAAATCATTTTTATTATATACATTTAATTTAAATAAAACATTTTAAATTGCAATACACAAAAAACTTAAAGCATTTATTTCCTAATTTTGTAAAATTACTATACTTTGGCGGAACAATAATAAAGGACTGACACTAAACATTTACTTACCCATTTTAGGAATGCACAATGACCTCCAAGGAGCGAAGACGAGCCCTGAAGATTGCCCAAGGACCCAGATCCCGGGCCTCCTTGGCTGCTCCTGTGTCCCACGCCTCCCTGCAATTCCAGCACTTCGGACTGGGAGGCACCTACTCGAGTGCTCTGGATGACTGGCTGATGACCAATGGCACTGGCGGTCTGGCCCGTCACAAAATAGGAGCTGGCAGCCTGAACGGCTATGCCGGAGCCAATCCCTTCCTCTTCTCCGATTCGGTGCCGGATCTGAGTGCTCTGAACAACGAGAATCACAATCACCACCTGAGCGGCATCAGCACGAACCACTCGACACCGCAGAAGATCCCGCACCACAGCAATGCGAATCTCAGCCGATACTCCAACGGCTATGTCTCGGCCCAAAATAGTTTCACTCAGGCTGGGGCTCTCTATGGATCGCCGAGGAGGATCTTCATCAACAGCAGCTTCGGTTCCAATCAGGTGGTGGATGAGGAAACCGAGGAGACGGAGGTTCAGCTAAGGAGACCGAGACTTTTCCGCGGAGTGAGCGCCACTCCGGATAATGGCAACGAATTGGACCGAGATTGGCTGTACCGCAAGCCAAGGGCACCCACCGATATGAGGCACTCAGGTGGGTTTCACCATATAATGTGGGTGGTAGACGATGCATCAGCCACTTCTCAGAATATGTAAATTTGCACTTTTGCAAATCTATTTTAGTTATGCATAACCATTTTGATAATTATAAAATTATAATTAGCAGAGTAATTTTTCCCTAAATAAGAAAACCAGAACCCTTAGAATTTGTTGCAGATGCATCGTTTACAACCAGGCTTAATGTGTACAATTTTCAATTTAAAATTGCTATATTTATGTCCTTTCCTTTAGTTCAACCTATGTTACCCGTTGGAGGAGGCAGCAATGTTGGCCTGGCTAAAACCGAATTGGACTGTTCGGCCCATGATAGTGGCCTGGACACGCCCCCATCGACGCACCGCCCCTCGAGCTATCGGGAGGCGAGCAGGGATAGCACCGAGACAAATGGCAGCTCCTCGAGGGGCACTCTGCTGAACAACTCCTCGCCAGGTGGCAGTTTTCGGGCCAAGAAGCTGAGCAGCCAGGTCAGCAATCTCAATCAGCTGAATTCCTTACACGGATCGAGATACTCGGTGCAGGATCAACGCATCCTGAAGATGCGCAACAACGAGGAGGATCGCTGTGCTTCGATCAAGATGGCCAACCGCCTCAATCAGAATCAAGAGCAGCAGGCCACCTACGATCCCAATCAGAATCGCTATTATAAGAACGGCAATGCCACGCCCCCCACATCACTGACGCCCCAGCATACGCCACAGCACAAACTGCTGATGATGCACCATGGCAATGGAAACGCAAATTTGGGAACCCTAAATGGCAACAGCAATGGCACCGGATCGGATCGGATCAATGGATCGGCCATTTTCCGGGAGCGATACCAACATCCTGCTCTGGCGGCCATCATCAACGAAGCCCAGGGTCTTAAGTTCCGAGGTAGGTTAGAGGACCTATACGGTTTTGCTTGCATTACACATCATTCATCTGGCATGGTTATGGGATGGCTTTAAGATCATATGGTTTGGTTTAATTATCGGAATGCTCATAGATAAAATTGGTTTAGTTACATGATAAGTTTTACTGTCTTCGTCATTTATTTTTAATTTTATTTTAAACGTTTAAAATGGAATAAATTTATACACACAATATTTTCAAAATTATCAAGTCAAATGAAAAAGCAAATTAGAATTTTTATTTTAATACTTTAGAATGATTTACTTATTAGTCAAAACTAGAACTTTTATTTAAATATTTTTTTGGATCCTAATAAATTGCTCCCTATTCGTATTATTTTTAATTGTTATACAATTTGTATCTATTCTGTTTTACAACCATTTAGTATATAAGTGAAAAGTTTTGTAATTTAGTAATTTTTAAAAATTGATGCATCTGAATTTGTGTTTGTAAAAAAATGTATTAAATTCAAAGTTTTAAGTTTTTTAAATAAAACACACACCCACTTATCATTCATCTTGTATTGGAATCATGCCTTGCAACCCTTCTTCTATAATATATATTTTTTACGATTTTACTTTTGCATGTTATCAATTTAAAGAAGAATCAGAAAATATGTGGTAAACTCCCCAAAAACCAAATTGTGCATGTTTCACAAAGTCTCGAGAAGACAGGCTCCAAGTGCATGACAAGATCGGGATATATATCTACCAGAAGATATAGATAAAGCGACCCTTTCCCCAACTTGTAGAGCGCGCCTATTCGGACAGCCAGCAGCGTCGACTGAACAACAACAATGGACCGACCCCCCAACCAGCCTCGCCCCTCGCTCAGCGCCGGAATAATGGTGGACTCGGATCAGGGGCTATATATGGCACGCCCACGCGTGTATAGCGTCTAAAGGTCTAAGAATAATCCAAATCGATGGATTGATCACTCCCCACTAGTTTAAAAGAGAATATAGGCGGTAAATTAGTCAACTTGATTGAAAGTTTGGAAATTATTTGCATAGAGAATACTTCAACGAAGGTAGAAAATAATAATTAAATAATAATTATGTAGTAGTAATCTTAGTGTGTGTGCTCCAATGTCCAGCTTTATGTAAATGTTTAAATAAAATATGCATTAGAGAAAAACCTTAACAACGTCAACTTTAATTGGGAAATAAAAGATTTGAGTGAAAGAAAAATAATTACATTTGTGTTATCTTTTGGATTTTCTTGGTAAGTATGCCTATACAATTTGAGCTAAACTAAACTTATTATGTTTTTGATATAACTTTTTAAAAAAGAAGACGGGTTTTATTTCAATTTGAACTGGATTTTCATTGTATGAAATAATTGTCTTTATAAAAATAATTGGAAATTTTTATATTTTGTTTGCTTAATAACAAAGCAACTAAGTTTTACTTAAATTATCTGACAAATAATTCTTGTTGCCTCTACTGCATTTTATGTAAGAGTGTTTCAAAATAGTTGAAAACTTGTTCATATTTTCATTTTTATAAACATTAACCTAATATTTATATGCAGAACTCAAATATGCTGTTTACTTTCCCAAAATAGATATTTTCATTCCAAAAATCCACAATTTAGGAGCTACAACTTTGGGGGCGTAAAAGTGGGCGTAATCTACCGACTTTTGGTTTTGTTCAGAAAATTTTTTCAAAAACATATCCATTATTTACTACCCCTTTCAACCAAAAAAAAACATCAGTTTATACTACTAGATAAGTATACGAAATCATAATTTGAAACAATTAAAGATAAATTTTGAAAAAAGCAACAATAAAAAATTAAAATAAAAAAAAATAGTTATGAAAACTTAGAACTTATTTTTGTTTAAATTATAGGTTAAGCTCAACATATTTTCTTATGTTAAAAAAAATTACAATTTCAAATGATATATTTAATATATTTATATTTCGATTTAAGTTCAAATAAAAACGAAGGTTAGTTGCTCATAAGAAAAATTTGCGCATATGTTATTGAAATCTAAATGTAATTAAATAAGTATTTGTGATTAATGAACTTATTTATACTTTGTTTTATACATTTGATTTGCAAAATTACCCAATAAATCCAATAAAAAATATTTGCACTGGTTGCGCAAAAACCATTTAACTGCTTAAATACCCATAATGAAAAAATTTTATTTATTACTAGTTGATACTTTTAGGCCCAAAACAGCCAACTGTTGATTAGAAATAAATATTTATATTAATTTTCGGAAAAGTGCATAGAGGATTTAAGCTCTGACCTACTTTTGACCAAGTCCTAAAAGATCAAGCTCATACGAATCAGCTTTCAGGATGTGTTTGCAGGACTCCCATCGGGGAAAATCGCATAAGCTTCTTTGGCCAAACTTTTCCGAATTGCCTTATAAAAGATGCAACACTGAAAAGCTCTGCAGCTGGAGAGCTTTGTATGCGAGAGAGGACGAGCTGCAACCCTCAAAGGATGAAATCAGGGAGACCGAGACCCCCTTATGTGCGGGCAATGGAATGGGCTTTTTCGGAGTCAACAATAAAATTTTCAGTCAGCTTTGAGACGCAGCAGCCACAGCAGCAACAGTAGTAGAGAATTTTCCCAACAGGATGCGGAGTCGCACGGAACTGGTGACCACCACTTTCGAGGAGAGCGACGAGGAGGACTTCAGTCCGGACGATGACTCCGACTCGGAGGAGGACTGGCGGCCCACCAAGAAGCGTCCGACCAAGCCAGCTGGCACCGAAGGCGGCAGGAAGCGGAAATCGGCGGCAGTCAATGCCTCGAAGGCGAAGCGCCGCCTGGCCAAGGTGAGCGACGAGGAGTCCGACGACCAGGATGACCTAGAAACGGATCCCAGCGACGACGACTTTGACTTTCCCTCGACGAGCACTTCAAAAAGGCCCCAAAGTCTGCCGCCCAAGAAGCAGTTCGTCAAGCTAAGCCAACTGGATTTGCTGGTAAAGAAGTCTGATCTTTTGGAAAACGACTGGCTCAAGAACAATCGATTGTGTCTGTGGCGTAAGGACGAGCAGACGAATCTGCTCCAGAAGTATCTGCGTGTAAAATCGGCCTCTGAGGAGGAGGAAATGCTCTTCACCTCCAGTTCGGTGGTAAGTCAAATTTTCTTCTGGTTGTCATTTAAAGAGGGTTTTAAAATCGAATTTCTGTTTAAGTTATGTCATAAAATTGATTGTGTTTTATGAAACCAAATAGTGTATAATCAAAATTCGATTGGGTTTATCCGTTAAAAATCTAGTGATAAATGTGGTGACATAAAAACTTAAGTTTATAAAACTCAGTGACAGCCATGAGAATCATCAGATATTTTAAATAATATATACTATCTAATAAATTTGTTACTTTAGTATTCCAGTTGGGATGACCAGCAGGCGAGCGATTTCATAGAGGTCAAAGTCAACTGCTTGGATCCCAATAACAGACGCATTAAACTACACGATCTAGAGGCGGTTAAGAAAATCTCTGAGGAATTGCAATCGGAGAGGGAAAAATCGTCAACATCGGAAAAAGAAGAAGCTTCGGAGGCGGAAGATGAATAGCCAGATGAAGATGATTCTTAAACAACTATTAAATATACGCAAAACTAACATTTTCTTTAGTAATTAAATCTAGTTGGCCAAGTTAGCGTTAAACAACCAATTTCCTTATAACAGCAGTCATGTGAAGACAACTTTAAATTTAATTTAGTATATTTAAAGAATTCCGAAAAAGCAAGAAAAAAATCAAAAGAAAAGTAAAGCACTTTAAGAATATCAATTTAAAAAGGTTGGTGTTTTAATTGTAATACATTCATTATATGCATTATATTCGCTTATATGCATTATATGCTTATTTCGCCTATAAGCCTATATGCATTGTTGACAGTTACTGTATTTCATTTGTCTTTGCTGCAAATATCGATATATGCAAACACTTTCTTACAGCTTTTGCGTATAAGCGACTTTACAAAGTTGTATAAATCGGTTTGTATAGGAAGGGACTTAAGATTTGCACATTCGAGGACGGTTACCGCCGCCGTTCGCCTTTGACGGTTTTGCGCTTTTCCTTCTTTTCCTCACGCAATTGCTTCTGCTTTTCGCGATCCTCCTTATCTTTTTGCTTCTTGGCCGCGCTGTCCAGTCGAGCCTGCTCCCGCTTTTCCTTGGCAAGCGCCTGGACATCGGATTTGTTGGTATTCTTGGCTAGAACTCCACTTTCATCATCGCTTTCCGGCTCCGAATCGTCCTCGTCCTGGTTCACAACAGCAGTCTGTGGAGGGGAAAAGTATTATTCTTTGCTTTTATGGAAAATAATAAGCTCATTAAAAATAAGATTTAAATTTATTGTATTTATATATATATACAGGTTAGCATAGCTTTCGTTGGCCAAAAAAAAAAAATAATTGTAGTTAATAATATTTAATATACAGGAGATTAATCTTACTATCTCACTTGTTAAAAAAGCCACAATAGAGATAGTCTGGAGAAAAACTGGCAATATGTGGCAATAAAAATGTCACCAAAGTGAACAATCACCGACTTAAAACGAAAAATTGCTATAAAAACCAGATGGAGCTGGAGTAACCTGGTCAAAGTGTAATTTGTTTGTGTGAATTTGTAAACTAATTAGAACAGGATGCCGAGAAAATGTAAAATTTTAACACACAAAATTAAAGAAGAATAATAAAAAAGCATTAAAGTTATGAAGACAAAATTGAACTCAACCAAAACATAACTTAGCTGCTCAATGCAGGACTTTAAATTTAAGTATTTAAAATAGAGCACAAAAAATTAAAAAAAACTAATGCTACTACAAATAAAAATTGTTCAAGGTAAAAGTTGTGGTGCAGAGTGGCCCTGCTCAAGGAATTTTGACAGTATACTAAGCATTATAAGATGCTGTATTGAGTAAAAAACACTAAACTGACCATGCTTAAGTGGCAATAAAAATAAACACTTAAGTGAGGAATAACAAATTGCCTTTGAAGTCAACAAAATGCTGTGAAAACCGGATGTGCTGGGATATTTGCGACAATAACCTGGGAGTACTGGGCTAGAATCTGCTGCTTGATGCGGCGCTCCTCCTCCGTGTATTCACGCTCCTTGTTGACGGCGGGTTGCAGCTTCTGTTGCTCCAGCAACTTGGCCAGTTGGGCATTCACATCGATATCCAGACCTTTCTTGGGCGGATCGTCGGCGCTGGGGTGACATTGAAACCATTTCTGGAGTATGGTAGCCACCAGTTCGTCAATATTGGGAGCCTACAAAGTGAAAACTTCTTTTGTTTATAAATTGGTTCTACTATTGTCCTTAACTTACCCCTGTTTCGCTGAGGATTCCCTCGAGAGCCTCGGTTTTTTCGTCCGTCGTTTCCTCATCGCCCTCTAAAATGCCAATAATATAGGATCCAAAAATACTCTCGTCCGTATTCAGTTTACGTAGCTGCTCATTTAGCCAACTTTGGAACTCCTCGCTGGCACTCATGGCTTCTTAAGACTTAGGATTTATATCATATATGGAGGGTTTTTTTACCGAGATGAACGGGCAGTGACAAATCAGCCGCAAAAGGCAACAAAAAATTTTATTCTAAAGCATGTGGTGCAGTGTTGGTAAGTGGCCATGGAAAAACAGCTGTTATAACAGAACTGCCAATTGGCATACAAAAACTTTGACACTGGGAAACACGTTATATATATAATATATTTAACCAAAATCGAAAAATAAATTTCTTAGATTATATTAATATATTTATATTTAATATCATTTTTAAATTTATTTACCGAATTACTTTCCAAAAACTTTCTGCTGGCAACGCTGTAATGTAACACAACTGTTAATCAACTGTTAAAAATCCGCAAACAGCTGATTGCCAAGTGTTGGGTAATACCTGTTCACCTTTCAGTTGTTTGCCGACCTTAAAAATCTTTACGCTTTTTATAACAAAAGAAATTGTTAACTGTTGTGTTGTTAAAACTTTGTCAATCTTATTAACTATGTTCTCTGGCTTGCCAGCTATTTAGTTTTTATAAAAACTACGTTTCGTGTATAAATTGTAACTGTTTAATGAAGCATCTAAAGTTATAAACAAATTTAAACTGTTTTGTGCGTACTTCTGTATGTGTGATTTTACTTTGAACTTGTGTTGGTGTCTTCATTTTGTGATAACTCGCAGCGTACAAAAACAATAACAATTTACAGAAACAACGTCACACGTCTGCGACACCTGCGTCGTTGTTGTTATTGTCGCCAAAGTTGTTGTTGTTGTTGCTGTCGTCGCCTTCGGCTTTTGTTTATTTGTTGCTGGGCGTCTCGTCGGCAGACGCGTTATAAACAAAAAAAAAAGGAAAGCACACACACACACACACGCGTGTGCCGTTGGCAACAAGTAGAATATATACAAACAAATTTCATACATCGCTATATTCGTGTGTAATCACAAGACGTCGAAGAAATCCCTTAAAATATAAGAAAACTCTTGGGAAAGAAATCGAATTGCACTTTGGATTCAATTTTCACTTTTGAGGTGAGTTCTTTTTAGTATTTAAAAATATTATAAAGTTGTGGCAGGTCCTGAATTGGAAAAGTCAAAGGTTTGGATAATTGACAAATAAGACTGATTGTACTTTGCACCCGTTAAACTATGAACTAATTAGAAACATTTGTTAAATACTGATTGTCAACAATTAGAAATAGAAATAAAAAAACACGAGTTTAAGTATTCTGTATTTATATATATATTGCTGTATTGTTAAAAAAAAAAGTCAAAAGCAAAGATATTCTTTGAAAAAGTAATATCTTATTTAAAGTGTGCAATGTAATGTTTTTTTATTTAAAATAAATGTACAGCATATAGATAAAATTAGAAAAAAACAAGAAAGAAAGCAAACTTCGGCAAGCCGAAGTTCATATACCCTTGCAGCTATTGCAAGAATTAAACATTTTTGAAAACATTAAAATTATAATTTACTTGCGTATAAGTTTAAAAACATTGAAGCTATGATGATTTGCAGCTCAATTATTTGATAGTTATTTTATATATTTTTATTGTTCCTATGGGAGCTATATGATATAGTCGTCCGACTTTGATGAAACTTAAACCGTAAATTGGAAATATTTAACCATTACTAAATGTCGAAGAACTAAACAAAAAATTAAAAAACAGAAAAGTTATAATTTTTTTTCATTTATTTCTCCGATTGTTCCTATGGGAGCTATATGATATAGTCGTCCGACTTTGATGAAATTTAAACCGTAAATCGAAAATATTTAACCATTACTAAATGTCGAAGAATTAAACAATTAAAAAACAGAAAAGTTATAATTTTTTTTCATTTATTTTTCCGATTGTTCCTATGGGAGCTATATGCTATAGTCGTCCGATTTTGATGAAATTTTTACCATAATTCTGAAATATTTAACCATTGCTTTATGTCGAAGAACAAAACAAAAAATTAAAAAACAGCAAAGTTATAATTTTTTTTCAATTATTTTTCCGATTGTTCCTATGGGAGCTATATGCTATAGTCGTCCGATTTTGATGAAATTTAAACCATAATTCTGAAATATATAACTATTGCTATATGTTGAAGAACTAAACAAAAAATTAAAAAACAGCAAAGTTATAATTTTTTTTCATTTATTTTTCCGATTGTTCCTATGGGAGCTATATGCTATAGTCGTCCGATCCGGCTCGTTCCGACTTATATACTACCTGCAATAGAAAGACAACTTTTGGGAAAGTTTCATGCAGATAGCTTTAAAACTGAGAGACTAGTTTGCATATAAACGGACGGACAGACGGACAGACGGACGGACAGACGGACGGACAGACGGACATGGCTAGATCGACTCGCCTAGTGATGCTGATCAAGAATACATATACTTTATAGGGTCGGAGATGTCTCCTTCACTGCGTTGCAAACTTCTGACTGAAATTATAATACCCTCTGCAAGGGTATAAAAATTTAATCAAAACATGAAATACTGAAAATTTTCTTTTTCGGGTTGTAATGTTTTATTTACTAACTAACAAAATGTATTTTTATATTTAAATTGTGGTGTTATTTTATCTTCGAAAGTTTTAAAACATGGTCACTATTACATAGATATATTTTATAGCTTAATTAACATCCTTGCTTTGGAAGAAAATAAACGTAATGAAAGCAAAGTCTGGTTAATATGTTTTCAGTAAATGATATGACAAATATATTTATAATATAACAATAAAAGATATAACAAGTAACCTTTTGCTTTCCGTTTGGTTTTTCAACACTTATCTAATGTATTATTATTTTTATTAACATATTTAATTCTAAGAACATTTCTGATTTAAAAAAAACCTATAATCATTGGCTTATAACCCAATCCAATCCTTGAGTTTTTCCGGGGGAACTGTCAGCATCTTGCCACCCCAAACGCTTTCCCCCACTTTGCTCCTTCGCTTATCGACTTGTGGCCTCAACTCGAGCTGTGTTGACTGTTTTTTTAATGGCCCACAACGTTGCAGGGATTGTTTATGAGCTTGTAAATGTGAGTGTCTTACACTTTCCCATCTGTGTGTGCATATTCATGTGGGCTCCTTTGCGACCGCGTCTGTGTTTGTGTATGCATAATAAATGCCATTAAAATTAAGTAATTGACGCAAGCAGCGAGCAGACGACACCCGTTAAGGGGCCAAAGGGGCGGTGTTAACTGATTCGGCGGAAAAGGAAAGCAGGGGGAAAAGGTACAAACCGGAAAATGAAAAACACGGCAAACGAAGACTGCAATTTTTAAAAAACTTTGTTCCCCCTCTCACTCCCTCTTGGCCTCTACCCTTACACGATTCCTTCTCTTTCACTCACTGCAGAATTCGTCATTAAATTTGAGACTCATTTAAATTTCAGCGAGCTCATAAAATTCACACGTTTCATTGCTTACGCTTTTGAAGACAAGCACAGTGGGTTATAGTTAAAGGTTTCCCTGCAAAAAAGGTGTGCATATTTTTTTTAATTTTATAATTTATTTCAAATATGTATATAAAATATTTTTATAAAAAAAAATAGGCAACAAAAATAAACATTTTTTTGTGATAAAAAATTATTAAATCTTATATTACAAAATATAATTTTAAGCTTAAATGTAATTTATCATATCTTTTATTTTAACTATAATGTTTTGTAAACACCATTAAATATATTATAAAAGTGAATTTTCATTGAATACAACTTTTTAATTGTGGTTTCATAGTAAAAAAAAAATTGAGCGGCAAATTTTGTTCTTTCACGAATAATAAACGACAAATTATGGTAAAAAAAAACTTTAGATTTTGAAAGTTGTACTGCTAACTTCATGCACATATTGGTTTTATCATTATCTTTTGAATTTCGTGTCCCACTGTTCATAGTCTTGAGTTTTAACTGCCATTCGGCAGTTGGCACGCCCTCGCCCATAAAGAATTTCTTATTCGCATGTTTTCCTGGGTATTTTTTATGGCGGATTTGCTTGATGGCTTGTCGCTGCATCAGACCAAAATCTTGGCTCTAATTGTGGGAAAGAAGCGAATTGATTTCCATATCATAAACTCAAGCTTGCGGCCAGGCAATTAAATGGAAAACGCAACAAGTCAAAAGCAGAAATGAGACAATTTGCCAGGGGAGTGGTATTTTGTAGGAAACCCCCGCACTTCACATAACAAAATCAATTCAACAACGGGTGGGTGGGCTTTTCGGTCTTTTCGGTCTTTTCGAGGATGCCACGGGGCGCTTATCCTGTAAAGTACTTTCCATTCTTGTTGCTCGTGGAATTTTCCTGGACCACCAACAGCGAAAGCAAGAGCTAATTCTGAATGGGGTGGTGATGGGCGCTTTGTGGGGTGTGTGTGTGTGGCTGAGATCTCTATAATACCATTACTTGGGTGGTCGTGTTTCCACGTTGTGTGGACTGGAAACATATGGTCTCTTCTTGGTTTCCCAAATGAAGAATTTGCTACACTTACGTTGGATTAAATAAAAGGAATAGGAAATGGAGGTGTAAACATCAAGAGAATTTAAAACTATTAAAGGTTAATAAACAATGTATAACACACATATTTGCTTTGCAAATCTTATTTCAAATAAATGATAATATTGTAATGTAATGTCAATGCAATAAAACACGTTTTTTCATGATCATTGCACCAATCAAAAAATTAATATAAAGTTCGATATGTAGATATAAACATAAAAAGCATTTAAAATAATTGAGGCTTATTAATAAATATGATGTTAGGTCAATAAAATAAAACCCGTTTTATTTTTATCATTAGTTCAATCTAAGTAATTATAAATAGTTGTAAGCATTTGTATAATAAAAAAAATTAACAGCTTTACATTTGTAACTATTATCTTATCTTATCTTAATATTTATTATTAAACTTTGATCATTGCTTCAATCTAAGTAATTATAAATAGTTGTTCGTAGATCAGATAATTATTAAAGAATAAATTAACAGTTTTTCATTTGTAACTATTATTTTATCTTACCTTATCATTTTCATTTAATTTAAATCTTAACCTTTAAGTGTATAGTAACTATTTAACTAAGTTTGAACAATCGACAAAAAAGAAATTCACT